ACAGGGGAGCCCAGCGACACAGCCATTATGCCAGCTGCTGGTCCTGAGATTGGCAGGTTCTACCAGGGCTCTCGGGTTTCCTAAAATCAAGGCTTTAGACAGGAATTTGGGTGCGTATGATTGGTAAAGGGAAGGCTTCTCAGGAAATACCTATAAGGGTGTGAGTGAAGTAGAATAGGGTGTAAGGAGAAAGAGACCAGCAAGGATGGGGCTTCAGGCAGTCTACTGTTGGACCATTATAGATAACTCTGAAGCAAAAACCACACTACAGAGCTGTTCTCCCTTGAGGCGGAGAGCCAGACTTTTGTATATCTCTATCAGTAGTAACAGCTGTGAGCCAGAAGAGGGAGCACAGAAATTCCTGGGCAAAGTGGTTCCCACTACCCAAAAATAATTCTCTATAGAAAGGAGGTATCTGATTCACAAAATCTCTTAAATAATCTAACTACTTTATCAATAAAGTGGGGGGGGAAAGGAATGGAAAACAACTGTAGATACCTGAGATAGTGTGGGAGGAGGGTGGGAAATGGCAGAGGGTGAGAAATAGTGGGACGAATATATATACATATATATGAAACTAAAAATGGAAAATTATTGCTATAGGGCGCATGCGCTTGCCCGACAGACAGAAAGAGACAGAGAGACAGAAAGCGAGAAATCACCCCCCCCAGGGGGGATGGCCATGCCACAATCCCTTCTCCTCCATTCTCCTCTCGGGATCTTGGGCACGCACACGCCTGGCGTGAGTTTTAAGCCACCGGGTCGGGGATGCGAACCACAGTCGACTACATGGGAGTTCAGCGACATAGCCATTACGCTAACTGCTGGTCCAAAATGGAAAGTTATTGATGGTAACATGTATGATTAAGTCACTACGTGGTATATTCTGGATGGGATATCACATTTTGTATGCTGTGATGATGCTCAGTGAATGAATGTAAATTAATTAATTAATTAAAAATGAAAACATTATTAAAAAAAAAAAAGCAAGGAGGTATCTGTGAGTCACTGGCAGCCAAGACTTGGAGCAGATGGAAAAGGGTTCACTGGCTCAGTAAGGATTTGGGTGGGGCACCATGGTGACATCTATCCCAGTCAAACATTTGTGTGAAATAGATCTTCTTGCTTCTCACATTAAATTCACTCCAGCCAGGCACAACTTCCCTAGGACTCCATGGTTATAATTCCTAGGGAAAGTCACAAGAGGAGGGTTAGTGTGATGAGCTATAACTCCTTTGCTACAGTTGGTCCTTGGTCTGTAGTTTGTTTTTCACAACCTTGTTGAGGTGTAATTTACATTCAGTAAACTGCATATACAGTAATTCCTTCTCATGCAGTTTTGCTTTCCAAAGTTTAAGTTATTTGCAGCCTACCATGGTCTGAAAATAGGACCCAGAGTATAGTACAGTAAGATATTTTGGGGAGGGTAGGAGAGATCACATTCATATAGCTTTTATTACAATATATTGTTGTATACTCATTCTCTTTTATTATTAGCTATAGTTGTTCATCTCTTACTGTGCCTAATTTATGAATTCAACTTTATCATAGTATGTATGTACAAGAAAAAACAAAGTCTAGGGACCAGCAGTTGGCATAATGGCTATGTCAGTGGACTCCCATGTAGTCGACCATGGTTCAAGTCCTGGACCTGGTGACTTAAACTCATGCTAGGTGCGTGTGCATGTGTACCCAAGATCCTGAGAGAATAATGGAGGAGAAGGGATTGTGGCATGGCCATCCCCCATGGGGGGTGATTTCTCTC